TATAAATACATAAAGGGCGAGTGTCAGGAGGTTGGAGCCGGGCTTCTCTTGGTGGTGGCCAATGATAGGACAAGAGGCAATGGGTGCAAGCTGGAGCATAGAAGGTTCCACATGAACATAAGGAAAAACTTTTTCACTGTGAGGCTGACAGAGCACTGGAACAGGCTGCCCAGAGAGGTTGTGGAGTCTCCTTCTCTGGAGACATTCAAAACCTGCCTGGACGTGTTCCTGTGTGATCTACTCTAGCTGGTCCTGCTCTGGCAGGGGGTTGGACTAGATGATCTTTCGAGGTCCCTTCCAACTCCTACCATTCTGTGATTCTGTGTAAGAATGCTCAGCTCAGTCTAGCTCTCGGAGGAGCAGTAAAAAGGGGCCGGCTCTGCTGGGTGCAGTGCTGAACAGAGAAAGGCATGTGTTTTTGAAGGGCCCACAGAAAGTGTGAACTAGGACAAAGTGACTGGTGACAAGGAAGGAGTGGCTTGGAACAGACATGTATATCTACAGCACAAGTGGTTCTTGAGCCTCCACATGAATCTGTTTTTGAGTTGTGCAGGTGTATTCTTGCTAAGGTCAGGGGAAGGAAAAAACTGAACCTTTCACTAATTCTCAGAAAGTCAGAAATGCCCTACGAGTAAACACAGTGTTATCAGTTAGCTATGAAACCTTTGCTCCTAAGCACTAATTTAATTTTAAAGCTATAAACTGCTAAAATAAAGATGGAAAATATTATGAAATGTTAGCAGCAGGCAGCGTACTGTTACCACAGTTCTCCGAAGGAGTGTGTTGGAGAACATTAGGCTGTGCTGCTTAATGCCAGTGCTGGTTCGCTTGCTCCTCTAAGCTACATTTGTATATTCTGTTTGTGAGGGCAGATGGGCTTCCCCACTGGTAGCTGTATTGACAAGGAGTTAAAGGCTTCCCTGCTGTTGCTGGAGAAAACATTACATTTTCAAGCCTTCTATCTTTTCCTGCCCGAATCTGAAATTTTCTCTGTTACAAAGTTGTTATACAAACAGAACAGTATGGTATGATTTTTTCAATTCAGCACACCTGATGAATCTACCTCAATTTGACAACTCTAAGCTTATATGATTATTGTGGTTGACTACTTTTTTACATCAAGGTATGTAACTTTTTGCCAAGTCTCCCCCCCCAGGAAGAAGACAGCTTGTTATGTTGTCGTTCCTAGCATTGAATACTTTACCTATTTGACAGTTTTAGACTATTCCCTACAATATTAATATTAGTCCCACAGCATCTTCCCCATCCCTGGGAAGAGTTACTGCAAGTACCCTTGATGAACACCCTATGGCTGTTAACTGTCTTCATTCCTGTTTTGTTGCTCCAGGAAAAACATGACCATTTTCTTCTGACTTTATTGAAAAATTCAAGACCCTTTCAGAAAGATTTAGATCCATCTCTGGCTTGCTAAGTACATACTTCCATGGTGGGTGTGTGTTTGTAGAGCAGCTCCTCAGGCAGAGCGCTACAGTCTTGAATGCTGGCTTAAGGATCAACCCCTAATATCTAGTAAAATTTCCTTGACAGCTGCTAAGATAGTTTGTTCTAATTGATTTAGAAGTGTAATGCTGTAGTTGTTAGTGACATTAAAAATCTGTAATTAAAGAAAAAATTTCTCCATGCAGCTTAGTTAGATGTGAATATACAATATAAATCTCATTTAAAGGACAGATAATACAGTTTTACATAGAATTATCTTTTTTAATGCCCTTTATTAAGCAGTCACACAGTTTGGGTGGTTGTGCTTGTTTTTAAATTCAAAAAACTATCTTTGGAACTTCGCTAGTATTTGAACTCGCTACAGAAATTAAGCTGTGGAAGATAACAATGCCACATACAGGTAAGTAAGCATGAGGTGACATACAAAATTCAGAGACAGTTTAGGGGAACAACTGTGTGATAGTTATTGATCACAAAACTGCACTGCAGTACCATTCAGTATTTGGGCACTGAAAAAAACACAAACTCTTAGAATTTTCTTTCTAATGCACTAAAAACCTGCTTCAGCCCTAACAAACTTTCATCACTGTGGGGAGGCAGGTGTGTCAGTCCAAGAACAGAGGCCCTCCTCAGTGCTGGAATTGGCAGCAGCCTGAACTAGCCTTGGTATTTTACACAAAGGTTTTCCAAGCAGTTTTGGTGCAACCTCGGACAACCTAAAATTTACCCAATGCATTTTCCAACGAGGAAGAGAAAGATTCTGACAGAGACCACAGCATGAAGTGTTAGATAAGCAGCCTCTGGGCTATGCTACTTTTTGTCTGCAACTAAACCATCTAATCAGGTTTGGTAATATTAATTGCAGAAAAGCCTGTTCAGAACTTAAAGAGTTCTCTGTGGAAAACCAAACGATAATGATCAAGACTGATAATTAAAAAGAGCGATTTTTTTTGAATGAGGTTTTATATGCAGTTCTTAAGTAACCAGTGGTATAAAACCTCAAGTTGGTGTTCCTGGTAATCAGTAACACCACATTTTGCAACAGTCAAGCAGTTTACTGCAAACCAGCTTGAAACCTGCCTACATCTTCAGCTGGCTAAAAAATGCTTTATAAAACTAACTGCCTCTATGCTATGTGTACATGCTTGTTTCATTTAATCAAACTGATGACGTAGTCTACCACAGAGATCACTACATTTCAGTAATGAACTTAGTACTTTGAAAACCCAACTGCAAAGTAGTAAGATTATTCTGAAAGACATCTCCATAACCTAAAAGGATTTGTTCAAGGTTTGTATCAAAAAGAGCAACTGGTTCAAGAGATGAATATTGCATTATGGAAAACAGATCCCCAAGAATGATCAAAGAGTTTTGGGGTGGGGGGTTTTAAGTACAATTTTTCAATGTCCTAAGTGGGTACAATGTATAGCCAGTTACTTTCATCAGTAATATATTGTGAATTAGCTTTGTTCTGAGGATCTACACCATCACCTCAATCAAAGTTTCCCAGTCATGCAGTAAATATTTAATTTCTCCTTCATCTTGTTACTCTCTACTTCTGGTTTTAGAATCTGTGCCTAGCTATTAGTTTCCTTGATGAAACAAACACTACCTAGATTTGTACTGGAAATCTCATTTTTATCTTGCACTGATGCAGACAAGGAGTGCATATAGCTCCAAAATTTTAAAAAACACCCCTAACTCAGACTTGACCCTTTAGGGTAAAACAAATGCAATTTCCTCTTCTTGTCTGGTAAATCTGATGTCTCTGTATCAGATTTAATCCTGAGAAGTTTCTAAGTTTCTGAAATCAACTAGTTGCTTGTTGGAAACTATGCAATGTGTAATATAAAGGTATTGATTTAGCTGTTGGTGTGCCTGCCAATCTGGATCCTGAAGCAGACTTCAGACCCCAATATCCTTTGATTAGAAAACGACCTAAAGAATTCCTGGCTCTTATCATGCGGAACACAAAGATGAGGGCTTTTTTTGTTCATTTCATAGCCTTTACTACCTGGCACTGTATTGCTTTTAGTATGCGGCAGCCATATACTTTGTGTAGTTCAGAATGCCAAGGCATAGTCAGTATCACAAGCTATGAGAACTTAGTAAGAAATACAGTGTGCAGTGTTTTATTAAAATTAATGCTTGGCTATAAAAACTCAAGCTGTTCTGTAGCACTAACTCATTTCCAATAAAGAGCAGAGAGCAGACCACATTTTGTCTGTCTGTTACAGAACAGTTCTCATTAACCTGCACTCCATTCTATTTTATGGCAGAAATTCTTTGACCTTGAGGAAGAGAATGCATGCTTTCTTAAAGAACAGAAGAACACTTCCCTTCCCAAATTAAATCGTAACAAATATATGGTGACTGATGGAGCTGCATACATTGGTAAGTAACCACATCTCAAGAAATTCTGGTTTGTAGCCAAAAGCCTGAAATATAACACCCATTTTTAAATGAGGAATCTACTGCTGATATGCTTGTTAAGTTAAAATAATAGTTCATGTCTTTGGGAACCTAGATGAAGACTGAGCTTTGAGCCTCTTCTCATTTAAAAACTCTTTTTTCTTCCCCCCCATGAATCAGTTTCTCAAAAGCAGCATTCTGCTTCCAGTATTTAAAAACTGACTGGAAACACAAATACCACACGCTTTATGAAGTAGGAATAAATTGGGTTATTAATATACTATCTTGTTTCTGCAACCCAGTGAAGATGGACTGTTCTCCATTTCCAATGTTATTACCAAGCTACAGTCAATCCTGGTAAATGCCTTTCATCCTCATCTTCTGAAGTCTTATTCAATTTACTGTAATGACACTTCAGACACTCTCCTAATGTTAGGTACATATCCAATCGGTATTTTGGGGTAAAGGTGTGTTTAAGTAAAGTCACTGTATGGCACATAGCAAAATGCAAGCTGTAAACTACTTTTTAAAAAAAATCTGACTGCTTGAGCTGTGAGTGACCTGCAGGATCAGAAAACTGCTACGGAATTAAAAAGTAACTCATGAGATTTTATAAAGTCAAGAGAGAAAACATGCATCTAATATGCTGCAGCTGGATGCTTTAGTTGCTTACTTCCTCACCCTGCCTTACTGCAAAGGGCTGAATGCCAGGGTCTACAGAGGCAGTGAGGGCAGGCAAAGGCTGCAACCCAGAACCATGCCCATGCACAGATGGAGAATCCCAAGGAGTGTAGAGATCACCTAGAGCTACTCTGAAAAGCTCACCTTGATGGGCTCTAAACACACACACCTCTCAACCTATCCAAAGCTTTTCACTTCAACTAGTGCAGCTTATTCCTCTTATCTCCCAAATATTTTGTGAGCCCCTCCCAAATAATTGGGTTTTACTCCATTTTAAATTCCTTATATTAGCCAGATCAAATTTCAGTAACATAACTTGTCTAGACAGCATGGATTCTTAGCTAGGTTGTTTTTCTTTCCCATTGCCTTACATCCTTAGTTACCTATAAATAAAAGAAAGAAATCATCAAAGCTGTGTGAAAGTAATACAAATGCCTGTTAAGGACCTGATGTGTCTTTTACTTGAGAGCATAGGAAGAAATGTCCCTTATGATGAGGCTTCAATTTACTATGC